GGAAAATGTTGTTATTTCCCCTTGGTCCATTACCCTGTCTGCGCCTGACCTGGTGGTCTTCTTGCTGCAGGATGTTGGCTTCCAGAGCCTTCAGCCTTGTTGGGAGGAGGTCCATCTGCACCTCCCTGTGCCTGAGAGCTCATGGACACGGTGGGTGACACTGCCCTGGGGATGGTGAGGGGAACAAACCCAGTCCTGCAGAGCAGGGCACAAACAGCTGCTCTGGGGGTCTGGGAAAAGGCAGGATTGGGGAGGAGGGGGATTGGGGAGGCTGGAACAGGAGATGGGAGTGGGCAGTGCCATGGCTGGCAGTGCAGAAGTGCTGCTGGGGAGGCAGCAGGAATCACAGAATCAAGGAATCATTGGGAGTAGAAAAGGGCTCTGGGATCAAGTTGAGTCCAACCTGTGACTGATCCTCACCTTGTCACCCAGCCCAGAGCACTGAGTGCCATGTCCAGGCCTTCCTCGGACACCTCTAGGGATGGAGATCCCACCACCTCCCTGGGCAGCCCCTTCCAAGGCCTGGCAGCCCTTTCTAGGAAGAAATTCCTCCTTGTATTAGATGGGATATTGGGAAGGAATCCTTCCCTGTGAGGGTGGTGAGGCCCTGGCACAGGTTGCCCAGAGAAGCTGTGGCTGCCCCATCCCTGGAAGTGTCCAAGGCCAGGTTGGACGGGGCTTGGAGCAACCTGGGATAGTGGAAGGTGTCTCTGCCCATGGCTGGGGTTTGGAACTGGATGGGCTTTAAGGTCCCTTCCAACCCAAAGCAGTCTGTGATTCTGTTCTTATGCTCTTAAAATAGCTCCTGTTTTAAGTGCTTCATCTGGATTCCTTAACTTGCCTCACCTTTTTGTCTGAGCTGTTGGGTTTTTGTGTTGTAACATGTAAGAGGTGTTGTGCAGGAGTTTGATTGGTGTCTCTTCTCTCTCCCCCCCCCCCAGCTGGCGTTGCGAAAGCAGAGGATTTCACCCTCCCAGCCTATGTGGACCGTCGGGACGTGCCCCTGCCTGAGGTGGCCTTCGTGAGGGACCTCTCAGCGCAGCAGAAGGCACTGAAGGAGAAGGAAAAGGCCTCGTGGACCGCCCTGTCCATCGATGAGAAAGTGGAACGTAGGTTTGGGGGGCTCTAAGTGACCTGACAGTGGCAACGACACGATCTCCTCTGCTGCATGTTCACTGTCATGGAATCATGGAATGGTTTGGGCTGGAAGGGACCTTAAAGTTCATCTTGTCCCACCCCTGCCATGGACAAGGACACCTTCCAGTAGACCAGGTTGTTCCAAGCCCTGTCCAACCTGGCCTTGCACACTCCCAGGGATGGGGCAGCCACAGCTTCTCTGGGCAACCTGTGCCAGGGCCTCACCAGCCTCACAGGGAAGAATTTCTCCCAATATCACATCTAACCCTGCCCTCTGACGTTGGAAGCCATTCCCCCTTGTCCTGTCCCTCCAGGCCTTTGTCCAAAGTGCCCATCCATGTTTCTTGTAGTCCCTTCACACACTGGGAAGCCACAATTAGATCACCCCTAACCCTTTGCTTCCAAGCCGAACAATCCAAATTCTTTGAGCCTTTCCTTGAAGAAGAGGTGCTTCATCCCTCTGATCATGTTGGTGGCTGTGGTTTGTGTTCCCAAGGTCCTTGGTGCTGTTTCAGAACGTGAAATGCACCTGCTGTGGTGTCTTTTCTGGACCTGAGGTCACATCCAGCAGTTCCTCTTCCGGAAAACAAATAGTAATTGTATTTGTTTCTTGATTCCCATCTGCTTTCAACAAGCCAGACAAAATCTCTTCATTACAATATGCCATTGTTAGTCCAGCTGAGGGAAATGAGCCCCTCAGCTCAGATGTGTATTTGAATGTTAATGACCACTGACTTTTACATTAACCAAATTCCAGCTAATTAAAGCCCTGAGTGGGTGTTTTGACTTGCAAATAAAACTGCCTCATTTTTTCTAACTGCTGCCGTGGTATGAAGTGAGAACCTGGTCTGTGAACAGGTGTCAAAGGTTTAAAACCCTTTGAGGAACTGCTCAGATGTTCCTAAGCACTCTCCAAATCTTATACTGCTTTGGGTTTTAAAATCCTTAGTGGCAGAGCGGGGAAGCTTTTTGAGATAGAAACATTCCTGTTGGAATTATTTGTGCTAGGAAATTCTGGGGTAACTGGGAATTGGAGAGGAGGAAGGAGAGCTCAATTTCTCCTCCTTTCAGGTCTATTCTGCAACTTTTGCACAACTTTATGATAGTCTATAAAATGAAGACTTCACATTGATGTGGGGGCGGGAACAGGTGGGGAGGGTGAAACACAACTCATTGGTCTTGCTGTGGGAGAGGGCAGCTGATTCCGAGCCTAATTTAACATCCACCCCCTTTTAGGCGGCCTCAGGCCTCGGTCACCTCCCTCTGGAGAGTTCCCTGTCACCTGCAAATCACAGGAAAACTTACAGGAGATGATTTTTTTGGCTTTTTTTGGCAGTGTATCGTATGAAATTCAACGAGACCTACGCAGAGATGAACAAAGGAACAAACGAGTGGAAGACCGTCCTGGGTGCAGTGTTTTTCTTCCTCGGCCTCACTGGTGTCATCCTCATCTGGCAGAAGCACTTCAGTAAGTAACCCTTTAGTGGAGGGCTGGATCAGTTTATGATCCCTAATGGGACATTAGAGAATTCCCATAAGCTTCTTTGTGGGGTCAGGATGGTGTGTGGAAGAGCCATAACTGTGACCTCCCAGCAGGAGCTATTTGTAAGTCCCTGAAAACTGTCCTGGAGTTGTAAGTTTATGGAGTCAGTGGGTTTGTTGCATAAATATTCAGGAAGCTAAGTCATGGAAAGGTAGTGGAGCTTTGGGAGGAGAGGAAATGGAGGGGAATGAGTGGTGATACTCCTGATCCCAGAGCTTCCCCTCTCTGCTGTCGGAAAAGCTTATTGCTGCCTTGGTATTGAGCACTTGGTTTTCTGCCATGTTTGGCTGCTTTCCCAGCTCAGGATCTGACCTCGAGGGAGCCTCCAGCTGCCGTGAGGCAGAGCAGCAGTTAAATGAGCTGCTCCCTGCCTTGAGGCTCCCAAGAAACGGAAAGCAGGAAGCTGTTATCTTGTACAAGCCTTTACTGATGAAGGAAACCACTAGAGAATCTGTGTGGGAATGTGGTCTGAGCTGGATGCACCAGAAACTGGATGTAGGGAGTGTAGGTTTGAACAGATCAGAGAATCATGGAATGGTTTGGGTTGGGAGGGACCTTAAAGTGCATCCAATTCCACCCCCTGCCATGGGTAGGGACACCTTCCACTAGATCAGGTTGCTCCAAAACCCCATCCAGCCTGGCCTTGGACACTTCCAGGGATGGGGCAACCACAGCTTCTCTGGGCAACCTGCTCCAGTGGGATGACTTCAGGGGAAAAAAACCTTTTTGTTAGTGACATTTGTCCCTCAGTTCCCAACTTGCTGATTTGGCATCACAATATAATTCCATCCAATCCCACCCTGCAGTGTACGGCCCCATCCCGCACACCTTCTCCGAGGAGTGGCTGTCGGCGCAGACCAAGAGGATGTTGGACATGAGGGTTAACCCCGTGGAGGGCATCTCAGCCCAGTGGGATTTTGACAAGAACGAATGGAAGAAATAAAGCAACTCAGTGGAACCTGCTCTGCTTGAATATGAAACGATTCCATCACCTGTGCGTGACCTCGTTGCTTGTGTACTGGAACACCCTCTCCACCTACAGAAATGCTAATAAATGTCTGGTTAACTTGAGAGTTGCCTGTTACTGGTTTCTGGATGTGTTTGTTGGGATGGGAGCACTTCAGAGGTTTTATTAAACACTGTGGTCTGAGCAAAGTTCCTGGCTTGATGTTTTCAGGGCTAAGAAAGCTGCTGCCAAATTTCTCCCTTCAGCTAAGCTGGTGTCCCCTTGATTGTGCAGGTTCTTGGTTTAAAACTCCCCTCTGAAGACTAAAGCAAGCTTTGCCTTCACTTTGCTCTTTTCCCGATGACAGGAAGCCTCCATCAGGAAACCTGATATGGTTTTAAGTCTGTGAATGTGTTTAGGAGCTGTGGGGGGTCTCAGCCACTTCTTGGCCAGCCTTTTCCTTTTAAGGTGAGATAAACTGGTTGGAGTTAAGCAATGAGCTCCCCTTCTTGCACCTGAAAAATCCCTTAGGTGATAAATTTGTCTCTGGGGTGCTGAGAAGGGTGGTCCAAGGTGACAGAATCCCAGGCTGGTGATGGCTGCAGGAGTGTTTGCTGTGCCTGTGATTTGCTCTTCCCTGCTCTCCACACAGCTCCTGCCTCTGGCAGGCTGGTGGCACAGATGTGGGAGGGGGACAGTGAGCTGCCAGGTGTTACTGCCTGGAAAATAGATGTTTTGAAGCATATGCTGGAGTTGCAGTGTTGCTTTACAGCTCTTCTCATCCCTGTTCCCAGAGGGAAGGGAAGATGGGCTCATCCAAAGTGTTCCATCAGCTGCACGTTGCTCGTGCCACACTCTGGTTTTCCAGGCCTTATTCTGAGTTCTGCTCATCCCTGTGACTGGGAGCAATTGGCATAACTGGAAAAGAAATCCCACTGAATGCAGGGCTTGTGCCAGCCTGAAGCATCCCAGAAGGAATACTGGGCAGCATTGCTGAGACCAAGGAGTCGTTCCTCCCAGGACTGTCCTTCCCAAAAGGCTGTAGAAGCTCCAGGGAGTCTGGGAGGGAAACCTGAGCCTCACCACAGCCCCAGATCCTTATTTCACCCTCCCCTGCCTGGCACCAGCCACTCTTCTCTGTTCCCTTCCCTGGTGCAGCGGCAGGACCTGCGGGAGCAGCCTGAAGGTGAGCTGAGATTGCCAGGGCTCTGCATGTTCCACTCCTGGCACATGTTCCCTTTCCTCCTGGGCAGAGGGACACACCGAGGAGAGGGTCAGATCTCACCATCCTGTCTGGGATTTTTGGGTGTTTATTTGCAGGTAGCCTTGGAGACCAAGAAACTGCCTGAATCCTGATCCTGGGGAGAGAAACCCATGGGGAGTGGAATGAGCAAGGTACTGGGGGCAGTGGGATGCTGGTCAGCATGTCCTCTTCTCCTGCAGTCCGTGGATACTCCTCCCAGGCCACCATGATTCCATAAACACAACTATTTGCATCTTTCCTTTCTCACTCCGCTTTGAAACTCCAAGTACTTAAGAAAGAAATTGAGAAAACAAATAGTGATTTATATCCAAGGTTTATGTCAGAGGTGAGGAGCAAAGTGTCTGCAGGTGTCAGGAGAGTGACAGCTGGTGTTAAATGCTCATCCCTTGGGAGGTAAAGCCATGGCATTCTCATTCTTAGGGCTGACAGGGGGGTCCCTGCAGGGAAATTCCCCCCTTACCACCCCCAGGATGTGTCTGTGCCCGGCAGCGATGTGGGAAGTGGGGTTTCACTGCTGCCTGTTCCTCCAGGGCTGGCAGAGAGGATCAATTTCTGTCGGTATCCTGAAATAACTTCCTGGTATGTGCATTCTCCAGTTTAAAATTAGACTCTGGGACAACAACAGAAAGATCAAATCAGGGCAAACTCTGCATGGCTCTGGTGTGGTTTAGACCTGGGTTTCACTGCCTGTAGACACAGCCTGACCAGCAAAGTGGGTTTTAAAGCCCCCCTGGTGCTACCAAACCATCTTGGGGATCCTGGGCTCTTGCTGCCAGGAGCTATTTGTGCAGACACTTTTGTAGGATCCCACTTTGGACTTGATAATATGCAGGGCTTGGCGTCCCCTTTCTAGTGGTAGCAGCTGGTGCTGTACAAGTTGTGCTGGATCCAGGTGTTTGCACTCAGGAACAGGCTGGGATTCAGCTGAATGGTAGAGCTGGGCTGGATGTGACCCAGTGCTGCTGAAAACCCTTCCTAAAACTTCTCAAACCAGGGGTTTCCTGCCAGATGAGCACCAACAAGTCCAGCTGCTAATCAACTTTCTCTTCTTTGTCTCCCTGAAAAGCACTCCAGTGGGTTCTTACACCCCATAAATACCCTGAGCTGCCCCTTTTTCTCCTTCATAACCCCACAGCAGTGAGTTGGAGACCAAATTTGCAGCCTTGATGTCTCTTACTGCAACATCCTGGCCAGAAAAGTGTTATAAATAGCCTGTGCCCATCTATCTCCAGCTGGCAGATGCAACCTTTGAAGCTCTGTAGGACCACATCCAAGTCCCTACTGTTTCTGTGCTGAGTTTTCCTGAGCTCTGCACTCCTGGAGGGGTTTAGGCTAGTGGTTTGAGTGGGCTCAGCCTTTCCTCGTTGTTAATTAAGGTGCTTTGTAGTTTAGCTGCTTGGTTTGTCATGGCCTGAGGAGTTTGGTGCCAGATTTCCTGGTCCTGCTGGAACCACATGTGCTCCCACCACATTGGATGCACCTTGTACTGTCTGAACTCTCTTTTTTGTCACCTCCCAGGTTGTCACAGGCCTCTACCTCGGGAATATCCGTGGTAAGTGCCTTTCCCTGTCCCACCTCTGCAGTGCTGTGGGGTCCCCGAGTTAGCTGGCAGGGCTAGAGGATTCCCTCTCCTCGGGGGCTCCCTGTGTCTGCTCCTCAGCATCTTCCAGAGATCCAAAGCCCCCAAAAATCTCCATCCCTATTGCAACTGATCCAATGCAACTCTAGCCCAGGAAAGGGATGTCCATAGGGAACTGCTGTCACTAGCCATGCTGGAACACCGGGCAGTCCTTGGCATGGCTGGAAACCTGCTCAACAGTGAGGACACCACAGCCTTTGACAAGTTATCAGTACAATTTCTGTTTTTGGGGGTGACTTTAGGAGCCTCCTGAGTACCCAGCACTTCCAAGGGGGATTTTGCTTGGAAGAAGGTGCCCAGTCTCCTTCCCTGCACCGTGTGGGGTGAGAGGCAGCGGGAAGGGCTGGAGTGAGGGTCAGGGGGCTGGGAGTGATGGGTGTGGGTTGTTGGTGGGTGTGTGGTCCAGCAGATCTCCCAGGAGGGCAGGTGATTCCAATGTGGCTCCTGCTTCCAGACTCTGAGGACCATGAAAACCTACTGAAGAATGGGGTGACCCACATCCTCTCTGTCTACAACGGCGCAAAGCCCGTGCTGGAGGTGAGTGCCCAGGCAGGAGTGCTGGGGGTCCACCCTGGAGGAGCAGGGGCTGGGAAGGTGCAGATGGGACACCCACGGGCTTCTCCTGGTGTGGGACAGAGCAGAGAGAAGCAATGCTGGATTTGCACCAGTTTGCACCGTGCAGTGATGAGTGGCACCCAAAGGGGCTCAGCGCTGGCACTGGGGAGGGGGGGAGCGGGGTGTTTTGGGGTCACAGGCACCACTCGGTGTTTTTTGGGGCGCGGGTGGGACCCGCGGCGCTGCGGGGCCGGCCCGGCCGTGTGCCCGGTGCTGCCGGGGGGTCCCCACGAGAGGGCGGCGGTGCCCCGCGGATGGAGCCCCGGCGGGCGGGGGGGGACACGCAGCGGAGCTCGGGACATCCCCCAGGATCCAGGACCTCTTTTCCCGCTGACCCCAGAGCGCTGCGGCCCCCCGGGTTGTCAGCGGGGAAACTGAGGCAGGAGGGAGCTGCCCGTGGGTCGATGCCAGAGGTGCCGGGCACGTCTCTCGTGCACAAATCCTGCCTGGAGAGTCCCATGAACTGGGAGCAGCCCCTTGGGGTTTGGCCCACGGGGGTGTGTGAGGAGCATGACCACGGGGTGCTGGATGCCTGGTGCAGGGGCAGAGCTGGATAACAGGGTGGGCACAGGCGTGGGGGGAGGGGGAAAATCCTATAGGTCATCATATCACAGAATCATGGAATGGTTTGGATTGGAAGGCACCTTAAAGCACATCTCATTCCAGCCCCTGCCATGGGCAGGGACACCTTCCACTAGACCAGGTTGCTCCAAGCCCCATCCAACCTGGCCTTGGACACTTCCAGGGATGGGGCAGCCACAGCTTCTCTGGGCAACCTGTGTCAGGGCCTCCCCACCCTCACAGGAACAATTTGTCCCTAATATCCCACCCAACCCTGCCTTCTGGCAGTGGGAAGCCATTCCCCCTTGTCCTGTCCCTCCAGGTCCTTGTCCAAAGTCCCTCTCCAGCTCTCTTGGAGCCCCTTTAGGCACTGGAAGGGGCTCTAAGGTCTCTCTGGAGCCTTCTGTTCTCCAGGCTGAATAGCCCCAGCTCTCCCAGCCCTGTTTCCAGAGCAGAGGGGCTCCAGCACTTGAAGCACCTCTGTGGCCTCCTCTGGACTCAATCCAACAGGTCCATGTTTTTCTTGTGCTGGGGGCTCTTCACCCCGGTGTCAGACCTGCTGCCATCTCCCAAATCCTGGGATGCTGAAGAAAGCCAAGGGGATTGGCAAGACCCCTCATCCTTTTGGGGCCACCGCGGGGAGGGAGCCCTAGCAAAACCCCAGCTGGAGCCTTTTCCCTGCTGAGGCATTGGGTAACGTGGAGGGGGGAGAGCGAGAAGGGAGGAGGAGGCGGCAGAGAAACGGCTGGTGACTGGGGAAGGGGCAGCAGCTGGGGCTGCCGAGCCCGGGGCACGGCCAGACGGGGAGCAAACCACACGGGGAGCTTACAACGAGCTTACAACACGGAGCAGAGCCGCGGGGGTGCGGAAAGGGGAACCGGAAAGGCATGGTGGGTTGAGCAACGTGTCAATCACGGCCCCGGGCCGGGAACCGCAAACCCCAGCACCGTTCCCATGCGTGGCCCGGCTCCCCGAGGTGGGATGGGGACACCCAGCCACGTGGGGAAGGGGAAGCCGCCGGGAGCCCGGCAGTTAATCCGGGATTGGTGTGTGGGTCAGGGATTTGGGGGAGGGTTGGGGTTGGTTTGGTTACTCCGCTGCTTGGCACAGTGGCTTTGCCATTGGGGTGGCTCTTCTCGCTGCCGGGAGGTTGGGCTGGCACCGGGAATGGCATGGAGCCATGGATGGGACAGAGAGGTGGTGCACGGGAAAGCCTGCATCATCTTTGCAACATGGGTCTTTCCAGCGCAGAATTATCCCCGTGCCCATCCCGTTCTATCCCTCCTTAAATAATCCACTTTATCCAGCCTCCTGATTCCTGGGCTAGTGGGTGGTCCATGGGGTTGGGCTGCATCGACCAAGGAGCACCTTTCAGCAGCGACCTGCTGGAAATGGGGCAATCCCTGGTGCTCTGGCTGCAGGATTTCTACCCGTTCAGCTAAGAAAGGACAAAAGTAAAACCCCAACCCCTCAGATGAAAAGGATCTAATTTTAGCTTAGAACAGGGAGGATCGAGGAAGCGATGTTTTAAGGAGAGGAAAGTGATCTGACCTAGGCCAGCATGAGGCAGATGATTTATGGTGTATTAAAAGGACAGGGAGGAAATAACTCATTGATGAGAGCTGCTTCGTCAGTGCGTGTTCACACACGTCTTCCTGGTGGGGCTCAGGGCCCTGGGAAAGGGCTGGCTCTGTTTTGGGGGGCTCCTGAGCAGTGTAATGGCCCACTAACATCCTGTCCTCTGGGATGAAATGGGAGGAAATAGCCTGGGATGGAATGGATGTGCCCACCCATCAGAGTGGAGCAGGGTGATGGTACCCAAAAGTGGTTTTCAGCTTTCCCCTCCCCTAAAGGTCAGCTGGGGAGAGAGAAGAGAAAAGAATGGGGGATTTTATGTTTCTTGGAGATATTTTACTACTGTGACCATCTTTGTATTGCAGGACATGACCTATCTGTGTATCTCGGCCTCAGATTCCTCCAGTCAAAACCTGTAAGTTGTTTCCCATCCTTTTGCCTCCCAGATCGTGTGCTGGTAGTTGTTGGTCAATAAAAGTTCAGATGCTGCAGGAGAAAGGTTTAGTCCATTCATGCCGTGACATTCTGTATCATTCCTGAGCTTCAGATAAGCTGGGGTGTATTCCCAGGGGGAAAATAGTATTTTAGGACTTAAAATCTGTTTCTGTGTGTGTTTGCAGCCAGTAAATCTAGTTTTCCATCAAGTTTCAGAATTATTCTATTGTGCAGGGTTGAAAATTGGAGTGTTAGAAAGACAATGATTTGTGTCTTTCAGACATTTTCTTTGGAAAGTTAAAGGAAGTGTTTATTAAAAATAACAGTTTTTTCACTATATAAAGCACAGATAATTATAACACTTCCAATGATGTTTTTGAGATGAAGCCGATGAGAGGTGCTGGAAGGGAGCTCCAGGATTTTGTGGGATGCTGGTACTGGGGGGAGGCACCATCCTGCTGCTGCTTTGGGTGACGGACACCCACAAATCATCCATTTCAACCAGCAAATGGGCAGCTCCAAGGGATTTTTCTGTTGCATCAGACCCTAAAAAGCATCAAAACTTGATGCAGAGTGACCAGAGTGAGCCCTGTTTGTGAAGGTGCTGGTTTTTCCAGCATCCTTGGGAGCAGCCGTGCCCGGGGGTGGGATTCTGCTTGCTCATGCTCCTGCTGAGCGGAAAGAGAAGCTTTACAAGAAAACCCTGCCTCAGCGAGAACTGGGTTTTTTGGTTGTTATTTTTTTTTAGTCTTTGCTCATTTCTTGGCATTTCTGGCGTGTCTACAAAAGGAAAAAAAAAAAAAAGGAAAAAAAAAAGGAGATAAGGCTGGCTGCCGGAAGGAAGACTTGTTCAAGGAACTATTTTCTGCATGTCAGTTTATGCCTTGGATTTCACAATCCCGGTGAACTTGTGTCCTGCAGAGGAGATGCTTGTGACTCAGGAGCTCAGGAGCCCGATCCCATGCTTTAAGGCTGGAAAAGCACAGGGGGAGTTTTCCTGTGGCTGACTGCCTGGGGGAAAACACCTTGTGGAGTGTGTGAGGATTGATGAGCTGGCTGAAATTTTCACTGCCCTCCCTGTGGGATGGGTTGGGAGAGGATGCTTCATGTATGGAGTGGGCTGGAGGCACCAGAATCATGTGTTTGTGAGGAAGGGTCCTCTCTGCTGATCCTACCAAGGTTATGAAGAGGAGGACTGGGATCTGGAGAGCCTGGAGCTGTGTGGGCAGCTCCTGCAGGCCCTGGGAGATGCTGTCTGCTTGTGAAGATAAGTAGGACAAGATAAAATGCCCTGGGACAAACTTTGAGCAGCGAAAGCCCCCCCCAAAAGGTGATGATGCAGTGGGGGAGGATGAAGATCATGAGAAGCAGTAGACAGACATCTCCTTCCAGGGTTGAGAGGCTCAATATTTTCAATATGAACACAATGTCAGAGACTCCCCCATCTCTCCTTTTCCTGGGCAGCAGAACCCACTGCAGTTCCTGAATAAACTCATCCTTGGCTGGTTTCTTAGAAGGAGCTGAGCCCAGTGCTTCCAGAGCAGGACAAAAAGCATCTCCTTCCATGGATACAGGGGATTTTGGAGGGTTCTGCCTTGTCCCCACGGGGAAACCAGCTCCCTTGGGGAGGGGCACAGTGGGAATAACTGCAGTAGCTCATGCCCTGGCTTCAGAGAAATCAGGAAGGCTGTGCAGGCACACGCCCACCCTGTCACGCGGAGGCAGAGGAAGTCCGGTGCTGGAGCAGAGGTGCTGCTGCCAAAGGGTCCCTCTTCTCCTCCTGGAAAACCCAGGGCTGTGTGCTCAGGGAGGCCACCAGCGGCACAAATGACACAGAATTAGGTTTTCTGCCTCAAAACTGCCCCAGAGCCCAGTGTGGCTGTGAGGGTGAGCAGGGATGGGCAGCATTTGTTGGAAACACACGCCAAGGAGAAGAATGCCTGGCTCAATGTGGGATCTTGGAAGCTCAACAGTTCCTGCATCCCATCTAGTGATGAGCAGGGGGGATGTGTCTCACAGGAGCCTGCATGATGCTCCCACAAACACCCACCTCTATCCCATCAGTACATATGGAGTTAGTTATCCTGTTTTCCAGGTCTCCATCAGAAAGCCCTGGCTCCGAGCCTTATTTTGCTGGTTTGGGTGAATGTGCTCCCTCTGCCTTGCCAGCAGTAGCTGGTTATGTTTTTGGGAATGCAGGCACCAATCTGTGGACATGCCTGTGTTGTTGCTGGCAGCCCTACCTCCCTGGCATGGGTGCTTCTCCATGCCCTCACGTGGGTGGAAAGGGGACCTCCAGGCAAAATGCCTCCAGAGCCACACTTCTCCCTGCCTTCTTCCCTGCTGGCATCTTTCCGTCTTTCCCTTGGAGGGAAGACAGAGTTTTTGGCATCATTTGGGAATTAGGGGTGAGCTGATGGCTCAGAATGAGTGCTGATGTGGGAGAGTGCATGTCCCTTACTCACAGGATGACACCTTTCCCTGGAGGATGTCCCTCTGGGGTTCTCCCTGAGCTGGTTTGTCTGATGGCATCACCATCCTTTCTCGATTCCTCAGGAAGCAGGAAATCCCCTGGGAAATTTCTCAGGTCGTTTCCTTCCCAGCAGATGAAGATCATCCCCTTTGCCTTCACCTGGCAGAGGAAGGATCTCTGCTCCCATCCCACACTGGTAGCCCCAGGGCAGTGGGAATTCCTTGGGAGTAATGCAACAGCAGTTTCCAGGATGTCCTGGCGCCTGGCAGGGGTGGACAGCCCTCCCCTCCTCACCTCCTGCCTCTCTCCTTGCAGGCTGCAGCATTTTAAGGAGAGCATCAAGTTCATCCACGAATGCCGGCTTGGTGGGGGAGGCTGCCTTGTCCATTGGTGAGAGCTGCTGGAACCTCCTCATGCCCCATCAATTCTCTGGGAGGTGGGGATGGGCTCCCAAAAGGTGTCCTCGACGTCAAACATTAATTGTGGTGGGGAGGGAGGAGAGGAGAAGAAGGAACAGCGGGAGGGTGACAAGGGAAGGTCTCCCTGGACCTACGGGGGCGGGTGGTCCATGCGCTGACAACCTGAGCATCCAAGAAGAGGTGGGACAAGGTGGTGCCACTTGCTTGGAGCCACCAACAGTGGTGAGAGATGGAGAGAGTTCCTTACCCCTTCCCAATCCACGCCCAGGGAACCCTGCTAGCACCCCAGCAGCCCAAGAGAAGCTGCATCCTGTGGGTGTCCCACACCAACCCCCACGGTGGGAATAACGCTGCTCCCTCCTGCCCTGCCAGCCTGGCCGGGGTCTCCCGCAGCACCACCATCCTGGTGGCTTATCTGATGACAGTGACAGAGCTGGGCTGGGAGAGCTGCCTGGCTGCCACCAAGGCTGTGAGACCCTACGTCAGCCCCAACTCTGGCTTCCAGCAGCAGCTGCAGGAATACGAGAGGACCCTGCTACAGGAGGTACGTCCTGACCCGATGTCCCCTTAGATACGTGGTGGAGGAGTTTGCAGCCAGGCAGGGCTCTTTTGCATGCATCTCTCTGCACGACCAGCTGTTTGCCCCAGCTGGCTTTTGGGGATGTTATTTATTACCTGGGGATTTGGGGGTTTGCATGCAAAAGAGAAAATTAAAAAAAAAAAAAAGAAGTGTTTAGATATTATGTGAGTGCACTTAAGGCTCTTTCAAACCTTAAAACCACAGTTATTTTCTCGAGAGTTCAGTTAGGACACAGTGGGAGGGATGGGAGAGCAGCTTGTCCCCTGGGAGCCTCAGGAAGGAGCTGGGCTGATTCCCAGGAATGCAGTGCAGCGGGAGCTGGAGGCGGAAAGGGAGAGAGGAGAGGGAGGAAGGTTCGTGCAAACAGTGTCGGGATGTCTGGGCGTGCTTGGATCTGGCAGGACTTCCTCTGACAGCAAGTCCTCTGCTTTTAGGGGCAGGGACAGGCAGGAGCAAGTGTGGGTGGAGAAATCTCCTCTTTCCTCCCCAGAATGACGTGGAGCAGTAGGTTTTAGGAGAGCAAAAGCTCTGGCTGGCTGGATTCCCATCCTGTGCAAGGGAGGGATGATGTAGCTGAGCCAAACTGGCTGCCGGAAGCTGGGAGTGACAGTGGCACGTTTAACTGGGAGAGCAGAGATCAGAGCTGTACTTTGGAACTGGAAAGCCCTCAAAAGCAAAGGGAAAGGCCTTTAAAAGCCAAGCTCCCACCAGGCTCTCCTCCAGCCTCCTACATTGGACCTTGCTCCTTCACCCAGCACTGGGGTCTGCAGACAAGGACAGGGGTCCCAAACTGCACATGGGACACAGATGGACCTCTGCAAGGAAAAAGTAACCTTCAACTCGATGTGTACAAGGCGTCTCACAGCCCAGGTCACCCCTAAACCTGGTCCCATCCCTGGAGGCAAAGCCCCCCCCGTCCAGGCACTCCAGCCATAAGCATTGTGCAATGGCCCCATGGCACATGGCAGAGGGGACCTGGTGGTCCCTCCAGTCATGTCGAGCCCTTCAAGGGGATTTCTCTCCTCCCAGGACAGAGACAGGGCCAGCACGTGACACTGGCCCGAAGTTCAGCCCCTTCCTCAGCACCAAGTTCCCTTCCCTGGGTGCCGGCGGCAGTGGGCGGGCGCTGTCACATGAGGGATGTGGCTCTGCCCCGTTATCACCAGCTTGCAAAAATGCCCGCAGACGAGGATGGAAAATGCTCCAAGGGATTACAAAACACCCGTGGTGCTGGAGATTCCCTGCGGGGCTTCCCCTGGCCAGGCCAGCTCTCTCCAGCCTTTCCCACGTTCTGGCCACGTCCTAACACAGACCGTGATGTGGGGTTTGTTCTGCCCTCTCTCCATCCGAGTTATTCCTTTCTCCCCAAAATCCAGACTGGGTTCAACAGGCACCAGGCTTTCCTCCCTTACCCTTAGAAGCTGCCTTGCCGTCACTTCAAAATTTTGACAGTGGCTTTGCAAGCATTTCCCTGAAATACCCAAGGCAGTGCCAAGGGTGGAGGTGCTTGGATGTGTTTTCCTGAGCGTGGGATTTAAAGAAAGCTGCCTTTTCCTTGAAGTCCCGTGTGTTCCCCGCACTGGCAGCAACGGGGAGGGAATGGCCCTCTTGAGCGGACTGCTGCCAGCACGGCCCCGGGGGCAAAGGCTGGGAGCGGGAAGGGCTCCGGCATTACTCACCCACAGCTGCATTTGGAGGAGGGGAAGAGCCGGATGGATGCTCCAGCCTGACCGGCAGCGCGCTGCTCGCAGCTCCCCCCTTTGCCAGAGGAAGGGATTGACAGGCAGATCAACCGAGGAGGATGGCCAGGGGTCCCGCAGGGTGGTGGGTGCTGTAGGCACTGTGTCCCCGGGATCCATGCCATGTGGGTTCCGTGCTGTGCTTCATGCCAAGCAGCAGCTGCCTCACTTACCTTGGCTGTGGGAGGTGGCACATTGTTCCCGTTGGTGGCTTTGGAGTGGTTTTCTGTGTGTATCATTAGAATGCAGGACCAAGGGTATCATGACCTGAGCCTCAGGGGTTTAATTTCCCCATTTAGCCCAGCTGTCATTCCAGCAAGCAGCAGTTTGGAAGCACAGTATATAGGAACAGACTTGGATAAGGGCTGGCCAAGCTGTTCAAGGGGAAAAGCCTCATCCCTTGTTGGTTAAAACCTGTGAGGAGCAGGTCCATCCTCCTGGGCACCTCCTGGGACTGTGGGCAAGCAGCCATTGGTGCCTCAGTTTCCTTCATTGCAAGGACCTCAGATGGGACCCTGGGAGGCTGGAATGGGGAAGATGCTCCCTGGGACTGTCCATCTGGCTCCTTGCTGCAGGAAGGACGCCTTGAGCGTGCAGCTGTGGTTTCAAGATGGCAAATGGTGCTTATCTGGGCTAGATGGATAAAGAAGGAAGGAAGGGACCAAGTGCAGCAGCAGGCTGAGGGGTAAGGTTAGAAAAGGAAGTCAGTGAGCTCAGAGAAGACAGTGTGGATGTGAGAGAGGGCAGAGATGGGCATCCCGGTGGTGGATCTGCTCCCCTGTGGTGCTGGCACACTATGGCCAGGCTGCCTTTTCCCCTCTGGTGCCATCCCAGATGGACTGGGTGCTTCTGGCACTGGGAGAGAGGAGGAGGAGGGCAGTGGATTAGTGGTCTGTGCTGGAGGAAATGGGCTGTAACCACTTCTTGCTCTGGCTTTAAAAGGAAGTCCCTGGGAGCAGCAGCAGCAGCAGGGTGCTTCCCTGGCCTCCTGCCTGCTCCTTCCCTCCTCACTGGATGATGGGAGTCAGCTCCCAGGCTGGGTGTTGGGTGCTGAGCCTTGGTGGGTGCCAAGCCTCTGTGGCCAGGCTGGACTTCCTGTGGAGCTTCATCCCTCTGGATGGTTTGCATGGGAAGGATGTTTCCCCCATGAGTATCTGGCATGGTTGCTTGCTGCAAATCCTGTCCCAAATCCTTCAGGACTCACTTCCCAGTGGTTCTTTTCTAGCATGGAATACAGGTCTGGCTCTCGAGGTCTTTCTGCTTGCAAGTGGCAAGTGAGTAACATCTGTGATGAGTCCCACTGTCTGAGGGAATGGATTTGGGAAATTCAGACATTCCCAGTGGAAATCCCCTCTGCCTGATCTGACTTTCCCTCACTGCAGGAGAGGGGGATGCCATCAGGGTCAGTCTGAGACTTTCTTCAGTAGTGATTCATCCAGCCCTGACAGGACGGGACTGAGCGACCAGTTCTGCTGTCCTACATCCCAAATATTTGCTGTGAGCTCAGTGGCTCCGAGGAGCCGGAGCCACAGCAAGGGCACATTGCCCTGGGGGTTCCAAGGCTGAGCTGCTCATGGAGGCTGCCTTCCTGTCCCTCTGGTTCCCCTGGCTGCACCCCATGCCTGTCCCTGTGCTGCTCCATTGCACGGCTCCGATGCTCCAATGCTCGGTCCCTCTCTGCCCCCTTGGCACCTTTTCTTCCATCCTTTTCTTAAGGTGTTTGGTGTTGCTGGGCCTGCTTCTACCAGTCATCCCAGTAAGTCCTTGCTAGAGCAGCTGGTTCCCAGCTACTCAGGGAGAAGACAAAGCCCTGCCTGTGCCCTGTGAGCACTGGACAGCCAGCATGGCAGGTCCTGGCAGAGCTGCCCATTCCTGCCCACTCTCTTGGATGCTGCCATCTGGGGCTGTCTGGCTGTTTCTCATTCAGCACTAGTGGGAAGCATTTCTATGGACCATCTCTTGCTTCTCAACCACCTCCAGGCCTCAGCCTGCTGCCAGCTGGCCCCTGGCCACCAGGATGCTCCTGCCGCCGGAGCAGTCTGGCTGCAGTGAGGAGGGGGGAGGAGAGGTGCCCCACAGGCTCCCACTGCTGAGGAAGATGCTCTGACAACAAACTTGCCTCACCTTGCAAGAGCCAACTTGGCTGTGCTGGTTGTGGCAGCAAGTCCAGCTTGTCCTTGTGAGAGAAAGAGGTGGGAAGCTTTCCTTACAGGAATTCAGGCACACGAGACACAGCAGCGGCTTCTTGGCAATGAGAAACAAATAAAGCTGCTGTCCCGGCTGCAGCTGGTGTGGGAAGCTAAGGATGCTGCCAGGCCTCCAGGCCTGTCCATGCCAGGCTGGGTGTGTGGGGAGCGCTCAGATGTGGGGAGTCACTGCATCTGTGGTATGATGTGTGTGAACTCCTGTGAAACTGGGATTTTCCTGCACGCTGGATGTGGCTGGGAATCCCCTTGCCCTCGCTGTGGGGGGCTGGGATGCAACAGGCATTGCTTGGCTCTTGCTGCTTTCCACTGGAGCTGTTGCAGTCCTGCTCCCTACCTGGGGATGTCTCAGACCCTGGTGACCCTGACAACCTGTTTTGGCTTTTTCCTTGCAGTATCGTGCCTGGATCCGCCGTGACTATGGCAGGAACCCATTCCAGGACCAGGAGGAGCTGCAGCGCTTGCTGGGCCAGCAGAAGCAGGGGCAGAAGGAGCAGCAGCTGGGGAGCTCCTGGTTCCGCTCTGCAGCTCCCACCTACCCACCTCCCTGCCACACCGGTGGCACTGGCGGCAGCAGATGGATGAACAGATAAGCAGCTGCTCTTGGGCAGGCATTGGCCTTGGGGCTCAGAAAACTCACTTCCCTTTGCCAAGCACCTCTGGGGGTTCATGTCTGGGGCAGAAAGCTGCCAGCACCGGCCATGGGCTCTGGGGCTGGAGCTGGAGGGACAGGACTTGCAGACCACCCTCTTGGCTGCCAGTTTAGTGTGTACCCCTGGGCAAGCCAGTTAATTGGTGACAGTGTCTTGCTCTGCCCTGTTCCTCCATTCCCAGCGGATCATGGCCACTTTCCATCCTCAGAGCAGCAGCCAGCCCTGTCCCTCTCTCTGACACCTGGATACCTGGATGCTTCTCTGGCAGGGCATAGGACTGATGATGCAGACATTGGAAAGCCACGGTGGGATGAGATGGAGAGAGGCCACCTTGTTCTCTGCTTTGCAGTGACACTGGGGCCAATGTAGCTTGCCGTGAGGAGGGAGGGATGAATCCTGGGTGTGGAGATGCTGCTTAGCCCTGTCTGGCACCCGGCGGGGTGGGGAGAGGGGCTGGGGGCTCCGGGGACTGCAGATGCCCCTCAGTGTTCTTGGACTTTCCTCGTCCAGCCTGTCCTTGGCAAACATCTATCTGGCATTTTTCTTAACCCACCCCCAGGGAGTGGGGAAATCCAGCAGTGCTGGAGGCTGCCTGTCCCACTGCTTCCATCCCCAGAGCCAGAGAGGTTTTGGGTTTTCCCTGAGCCTGATCTGAATGTCCCTGTTTGCAAAAGAAGCCAACTGCTTGGTTGGACTCAGTCAACCCATGGACCAGTTTAATGCTGTCCCTTTCCTACAGCATTTTTAATATCAAAAGGTCATGACCATGTCCTGCTTTTCATCCCAGACTCATTTCCAGGACTTTCATTGGCAGGACTCCCCCTATCTGTCCTACAAGGAAGGGGTCTCATCCCATTGATTCAGCCCTTCCACATGGAAACCTTCAAGCCTTCCATGCCACTTTGGCATTTTACTATAAATACCTTGTTTGGCTTCTCAAAAATATCTGTTCTGAAATTCCTTCTCAGAAAAAAGGCATTAAAAATATTTCTAGGAATTCTCTTAATGAAAACTTCTGGGTACTCGAAGTGTAACAGCATCAGAGGTGACTCACTCAAATCCTAATAAAGAGAAGAATGATTAAAGCCATGAGTATGGCTGGACTTGATTTGTGGTATTCCTAGTGGGAATAGAGAGATGGACTGACATGACCACTCTGCTGCTGTGTCCTGTTTCCCATTTTCTTGATGAGAACCACCAGCAAAATTCAAAGTTTTAGAGACTCAGTGTTTAGCCATTATGTATAAAATTCTGTGGAAAAAAATATGGAGGCTTTTCACACCTTTTTCAGTGGAGAAAAGGGTCCCTGTGGCTGTTATTCCACATGGAAGTAATGCCATGGTTTGTGCCTGCAGCTTGCTCTGTGTGGGAAAACAATGAGATCAAGGCCCATAAATGCTGTTGATGGAGTGGACTGAAGGGAGGTTGATCAAACTGGATCAATACTGGATTTAGAGCCTCTGTTATCATTTCAGGAAGCAGAAAAATGGAACTTGCACACAGGAAGAAAAAAGAGAAGAAAGTGGGTTTCTGGTGTTAATAGGAAGTCATTGGAGATGGGTGATAACAGAGATTAGGTCTGCAGTAGGTGTGATAACCTCACAGAGTGCTGTCTGTGCTGTCCCTGCTCCAGCCTGGATGGCCATGTCCTTCCTGTCCCACAGCTGCCCATCCCAGGATTCAAACATTCCCCAAAAAACTGTGGCACCAAAGCAAAACTTGGAAAAATCCCCCAGATTTGGGGAATCACAAGGGATGCTCCCTGTAAACTGCAGCATCCCCTATGCCTGGCATCACAGCAACAGCTGTGCCCAAACAGCATCTAAACCCGATTTACCCCCAAATCTGTGGAGCGACCTGGGCAAATATACATATTTTTCCACTCTGGCCCACATCAGTGGGACCTGTAGTGGCTTTAGGCTTTCTGGGAGCTGGAATGCAAGCCCTGGGGCAGGTAAAACCTGGCTGATTTCCACTCCTTTCTGCACTGCAAAGAGCACTGCACACTCGGCTGTTCAGCTCTCCTGTGCCACATCAGCTTTCCCAGAAACCTGGTGCCTCTGGCGCAAGGAAAATCACTCCACTGAAGCGTGAATGAGCTTCCCAGGGTGTTGTTCACACACAGGGAAATAGCTCGCGGCTCTGCTGCTCCCCCTAGGCATCCACATGTTCTTTTGCCAGCCACGGGCAAGGCTATGGGGCATCTCACTCCCAGCCTAAACTAAGTGCCTGAAAACCCATTTTAACGGAGTTATTATTTTATCCTCACTCCGGGGAATTTAGATTTTGCCTTTCCAGGCTGCCTATGAAGTGGAAGAGCCAAAATGAAACTGGAAGTGATGGGGTTACCTCACTCCATTGCAATCAGTCTCCAGGTCTTTGGTCTTCAGATGGGATGGAGAGGCTTGATTATATGAACACTCTTTAAAATATCCTGAATTTGCCAGAACCTTTACAAAATAAACAGTTTTTTTGCAGGGGTGTCTCCATCTGGCATGAGGAGGGAGGATTGGTGTTGTGAGAGACAGTGATACAAACCCTCTGCAAACAAGCTTAACTTTTTTTTTGGTCAAAAAAGAGAATTAATCCTCCTGATTGTATCTGGTTGTAAAAGATGTTTTTGGCTCTCCCCAAATCTCATGGGTAAGAATCTGATGAGGATCAGTTGGGTGTTTAAAAACAAGGATTGTTACAGCCGTTCTTTATTAGAAATGACAGGAAAGGTTGTGCACCTCGGATCTTTACTTTTATTAAACCATCTGTGCAGCTCCATACATTTCCCATTTCTCTGTATTACCCACATGGGAGTAATTATGGTTTTCTTCCAAGAAATCTGAGTGTAATCTGGTAATCCCGAAAAAAAACCCCTCTGAAGTCAGGCTGAAGATGGTCCTTTATGCTCTGCTGTGGCCAGAGGCCCTGGCTGGGCATGGCCAGGCTGGGCTGGGGGAGCTGGGCACGGCCAGGGCACTGAGTCTGGCTGGGGAACAGTGGGAATGGCCAGGACAGGGAGAGAGGGACTGATCCAGGACTGTGGATTGATCCAGGATGGAACTGGAAGCTGCCAGGGAATGGATTGAACTGGAATCAGAAGACTGACTGGGGGCGGGGGATGGACCAATCTGGGATGGGGAAGATTGGTCTGGGGCTGGGGAGGGACCAATTTGGGACTGGGAATGGGCTGATCTATGACTGGGGAGACCAGCTGGAAACTGGGGAGACTGGTTGGAAACAGGTGAGGGATGAATCTGAGACTGAAGAGAGTGGTCTGGGACTGGGGATGGAATGATCTGGTAATGAGGCATGACTGAGCTGGAAGTGGGGATGGACCGATTTGGGATAGAAGAGATTGGTCTGCGACTGGGGAGGGACCAATCTGGGACCAGGGAAACTGATGTGGGACTGGGGAGGCTGGTCTGGGACTGGGGAGGCTGGATGGGACTGGATTGATCTGGGACTGGGGAGACTGGTCTGAAAATGGGGAAGGTTGATCTGGGGCTGAGGATGGACTGATCTGGGACTGGGGATATTGATCTGAGACTGGGGACGGACTGATCTGGGACTGGGCATGGACCAGTCTGGGACTGGGAAGAGACTGGTGTGGAACTGGGGAAACTGGTTTGGAACTGGGGGTGGAATAATCTGAGACAGGGAAGGCTGGTCTGGGGCTGGGGAGGGACCGACCTTTGCGAGGCTGAGCTCAGCCCGGTGCGGGTCAGCACCGGAGACGAACCGGCCCGAGGCTGACCCGGGACATGGGCGGGTCACCCCGCCCGCCCCGCCCCGCCCCCTGCCGGCCCCGCCCCGCCCCCTCCCGCGAGACCCCGCCCCCTCCCGCGAGGCCCCGCCCCCCGAGGTCAGCTGATTTCGGGGAAGGCCGCGCGCTTCAGAGAAAGCAGCGCGGGTCGCGCGCGCCCCGCCAGGCGGCTCCCCATTGGTCGGGGCCGTGTCGGGGAGGCGGCCTCCCATTGGCGGAGCCGCTCGAGGGCGGGTTCGATGCCGGCCCCTCCCCGGCGGCCCCTATATAAGGCGGGGGCGGCGCGTGGCGCGGGTGCGGCACCTGGAGCGGGACGGGAGCGGCGCCGGGCAGGTATCGGCACCGAGCGGCGGGAGGGCAGGGACCCACACCGACCCCTAACCCGACTGTCCGCACGCCTCTGGGCTGCGGGAAAGGACAGGGGGTTTTCGAGACCGTGGTGATGAGCGGCGAACGCCGCCCGGTTCTTGTGGTCCGCTGCAGGTCGCGGGAAGCGCTGCTCCCGTTGCCCCGGGGCACAGCCCGGGATGGGTGGGCTGGAGCTGCGGTGCTGGACCGCAGGGCGATGGTCCGGGGCTGCTCTGCCCGCCCTTTTTGCTGGCGGTCGGTCCCCCCGAGTAGAGAGGTGGGGAGGTCTCCTTGCCCATGTCCCGGGTGTGTTGGCTCGCGTGGGTGGTGGCAGCCGGGGGGGCTTGTTGAGCCTCCAGGGGAGCGGAGATGGAGCTCCGGACTCTGGCAGTGATGAGAAGAAGCTTTCTAGAAAATGAGATAACTTAAAGTCCCATTTCAGCAGGATTTTTGCGGTTCTTGGTGTGACAGGTTTGGTGCAGGAGCCCCCAGAGATGCTCTGTGTACCCCCATCCCTCCAGGGATGATCTGTGGTGTGTCCTTTGGAACATCCAGCTGGGATCCAGAGTTGTGCCCTCGGTGGTGTTTTGGCTGTTGCTGTTGGTTCTCACGATCTCTAAAAGCAGAGTTTGTGCTGTGGATGGCCGAGGGCGTCACTGTGTCCTGCTGGGCAGCTGTGGAGAAGGGACAGAAGTTGGTGGCACAGAGCTGGTGGGAGCCCATAGGAGCTGCTGTGTCTCAGGCTGTGCTGGGAACAGCTTATTTTCTCCCCAAATCTTCCAATGGAGAAGTAAATAACGAATGAGGGAGAGGTGGTCCTGTAAAATTTGCAGGAGGGCTGTGAGCCCAAAATGCTTGGAGAGCTGATCCTGGGGCTGCTGGTCACTTCTGCCAGGCCACCGGCTTCTGCAGGTCATGACGTGGAGGTGACTGGAGGTGCAGGGAGGGTTGAGCCTGGAACTTTACTTCCAGCTGGATGGGAGAAGCTTTCTCATGGATCCTTCATGAAGTCACCCGGTGATTTTGGCTAAAAATGACCTGAGGTCCCCAGCAAGGGTGGTTTGGCCTTACCCTGCTCCATCCTGGCATTGTCCCTCTGTTCCAGAGGTTGGTTGTGTGTTTCCCATACCTGTGGTGACTTGGAATGCTGCTTGGAATCAGCACCTGCTCCCCAAATAGGCAGTGCCTGGTGAGAGGGGCTGCTTCTCCTCTGGGGCAGATCCTTGTGCCAAGACCAGGGACAGCTCTAAGACCCATCACTAATGGGTGTCTGCCATGGAACGTCCTGTCTGCTGTCACTTGCTCAGGTGCTTTAATCCCCATCCATCTGCTTCCTATGTGACTTATCCCCCAGCAAAATAGGAGTAAGCAGAGCACCAAGTCAGCTGGTTGTGTGAGCAGAGCTTTGATAGAGCTGGAGAAAGAATCTGTAGCAATTCAGAGGAAATTTTCTTGATTTTTGTCATTGTGAAAGAAGCAGCGGTGGGTAGTTTAGTCACAGAATTACAGAATAATGAAATCCCAGAATGGTTTGGGTTGGAAGGGACCTTAAAGATCACTTCATTCCAACCCCTTGCCATGGGCAGACATTGGCACGTGGGACTCTCAAAGATGCCAGAAGCTTCTTGACCCTGCGGGCAGTGCCACTGCCAGCTGTGCACGGGGCAAACCAGCCTGATCCCTGTGCTCCAGCTGTGGTGGGATGGTCCTGGGAGAGCTAACAGGGCTTGGACCTCTCCCCCCATCTAGGATGTGTGACCGGAACGGTGGCCGGCGGCTCCGGCAGTGGCTGATCGAGCAGATCGACAGCGAGATGTACCCCGGGCTCATCTGGGAGAACGAGGAGAAATCCATGTTCCGCATCCCCTGGAAGCACGCTGGGAAGCAGGACTACAACCAGGAGGTGGATGCTTCTATTTTCAAGGTAGGGGCAGATATTTGATGCCTTTTCTTGGTTAATTGTGGTCTCTGTGGTGCTGTTTTGTCCCCTTGATGAGTCCCACTGGTGGGACATGTCCATGATGAGTCTGTTTTGCATCTCTAACCCTTGCAGGAGATGCTTCACCCTGCAATTAGTCTCCCAGGCTCTTTTGGGGGTATTTATTCCTTTCTGTCAAATGTTGGTACCAGTTTTGGTACCAAGAACTTCAGCACAGCCATATAACAGCACCTTGGAGAGGCTCACAGCCCCATCCAGAGCTGCTTTTTGAGACCAAAAACCAGTTCATACAGGTTCACTAGGTTTGCTTTCATCATATTTGAATCCAGGTCTTATATGAAAAGGAGCTCAGTGCGTTCATTTTGCCCTACTCTAAACTTGTCAGCTTTTCTTGATAAAAGGCTAGATTTACAAAAAACCCCAAAAACCTAAAAAGACTTAGCAGGACGGAAGGAAGGATTTCACTGAAGCAGGGGGGATTTCCAGTTTAGGGGTGAAATGGGAAAATTCCATACTAAAAAAGAAAGGTCAGATCTTACCCAGGAATTCCCTTCCCTCTGCCCCCACTCCCAAATATCTGTACTGGTGAGGGAGTTTACTCTCAGGGCAGTGACAGCTGGTTAACAGCTGTTTTGAGAGCACTGAGTTATGAGGATGGCATTGAATTAATCACCTGAAGATACAGAAAGAGCTATAAAATAAATATGTATATTTAAAAAATACCTATTTTGCAATCTCCCTTCAAGGGTAAAATCTATTCTCCTACCAAAAGCACAAACTATGCTCTGATCTTAAAGGGAAACCAGCTTTCCTTTATTAGTCAGGAGCTGGAAAATGAAGTTTATTTTGATTTTTATTTGAGGTGTTACTGGGGTATTAGGAACAACACTTTCAGATTCCTCAGATTCCCAGTATTCTGAGTTGGTGCAGATATGAAGCCAGATATTATGATCTTGACCTCTGCTTTTTTAAAACTTGAGTTTTAAAAGAGTTTTCTGCATCCCTGGGGCAGGTACTGCTGCCCTACACCCAAATACCCACCTCCAGGTGTGGGGGCTGTGCATCTGTCTGCAGTCTAGGAGTGAAACAGCAAATACCCATGGGATGGTTGGGAGGGGGCAAGGGGCAGAGCAAGATGCAAAATGTTTTCTGAAGCCCCAGCTCCTTCCTCCCTGGGGTTGAGAGGGTTTGTAGAGCTCAGGTGGAGGATTACTTTCTCTTTTTTTCTGTTGTTGTTCTGTGCTTTAGGCCTGGGCTGTCTTCAAAGGCAAGTTCAAAGAAGGCGACAAAGCTGAGCCGGCCACGTGGAAGACGCGGCTGCGCTGCGCTTTGAACAAGAGCCCTGACTTTGAGGAGGTGACAGACAGGTCCCAGCTGGACATCTCTGAGCCCTACAAGGTCTACAGGATCGTGCCAGAGGAGGAGCAGAAATGTGAGTGCCCCAGTGAAGGACTGAGCCCTGTTGTGGGTCCATCTGTAACCAGGGACTCGTGCTGCTAACCTGTGTCTGAGCAGAGCTTCCTGACCAGACCCTGCTCTGGTACCGTGTCTATTTATTCGTCCTGCTTTGCAGATGTCCCCATGTCACTGCGGTGCCAGGAGGGGAGGAGGAAGGACAGTCTTGTTTTTCTAACCCCCTAAACAGCTACTTAGGGGACAACTGCAGCATTGTGTAAGCTTCCATCCCCTAAGGATGTTGTAGGGGCAAATCCCATATCCTTCCCTGCCTGGGGAGGTACATGAGCCCAAACCCCTTGTCCTCCCAATGCCTGCCCTGTGTAGATGGTGGGGAGCTGCAATTAATCCCTCTCTTGCCAGCAGTGGTGGAGGAGCAGCAGTTCTGCAGAGCTGCTGTGATGTCTGGTGTGGCCCAGGTCACACTAAGTATATCTCTATTTGTGGTTAGGGGGGTGTGTGTGTGCTTTTTCCTTTTTTATTTAAGTTTAAAATTTGCAAAAAAGTAATTATTTTGCTGTCAGGAAATCTGCCTTTAGCATCTCTGTCTCCTCTAGCCTGTTTACCCAGGGGGCTGCGCTGCCTCTATGCAAATGGCACTGCAGGTTCCCACCAGCAGCATGACTGCACTAGGGTGGCTGGTGGAAAAAAGGAGAAGCAGCAGCAGCAACCCCAGTCTCTGGGGTGCTCAAAAAACCCCCAAACCTCTCCTCTGCTCTAGCTCTGTCTCTGCTACCAGCCAGATTTTTGATTTGCCTTGCTGCTGCTTGCTGTGCAGTGGGACAATGGGTTATAAATTTAATTTTTGGTCCTAAAAAGTGGCTGTGGAGGGGGCTGTGAGCCTCTCCAAGGTGCTGTTACATGACTGTGCAGTGCTGTGGTTCTTGGTTTTATAACTTTCATGGTGTGAAAGGTTTTTAAAGCCCATCATTGAGATGAGGTGTGTGTGTCCTCACTGCATCCCTGCCTCTCCTTCCAGGCAAAGCAGGTGTTGGCAATGGGAGCAACCTGAATGATGTCACGGAGATGGACTGCAGCTCCTCTGCAATCGATGACCTCATCAAAGAGGTAAGTCCTCACTGTGGCTGCAGGTCACCTGGGCTGGAGGGGCACTGATGGGCCAAGTTGTCTGATAAAGCGTTGTCTCCCAAAAATTCAATCTGCAAAGCTCTGGGGATCAGCAGTGCTGGATTCTGCAGCTCATCCATGTGAACCAGCATCAGGGTGTGGCTATGATGATGCTCCTGCTTCTGATGGGCATCTGGGTGGGTGAGACCTTCACTAGGGGATGGAGTCTGTGTCACAGCTCTGTTCCCCTTCTCAGCCATGTCACATCCAGCTGATTCTGCTCAGTAGCTCTTGAGGGTGTTATTCGAGTGTACAACCTGGGCAATGCCAAACTTGGTCTTTCCAACCCAAAAAATTCATTGTCATCCTGCTGGCATTGCCATTTGGACCCTCTCTGAGTGCTGCAAGTGCCTCGCTGGAGGACAGCTCTGCCCAAGGCATCAAATCTGCTCTGATCTCGGTATCTGGTCCTCCATAGCCCCCCTGTGTGGATGAATACCTGGGGATCATCAAGAGGAGCCCCTCACCCCCCCAGGAGACCTGCAGAAACCCCCCAATACCCGACTGGTGGGTGCAGCAGCCCAACCCTGGTAAGTGGCTGACAGTGTGTGTGGTGTTTGGGACTGAGGTTTGTCTGGGGCAGGAAAAATCTCCTTGTGCAGTGATATGTAACAGACAGCAGCTGCATTTTGTCTTTCTTATTAAGAATATTTAAACTGGGAGTTTTTGCTGGCATCTCCTGTGTCGGAGCTGGGAAGCCTGGGACAGAAAACCAGGGGGGTGGTGGAGGGAAACGGGGGATTGGGGTTTGGGAAATGGGCATGTAGGCTCAGCTTGGCTTTCTCTGCCCACAGCGTTGCCCCTGATGAACGGATACTCTGGCTATGAGCAGTATCATTCAGGTAAGGCACCTCACCTGGACATTGGATACCTCTCTGGGGTTCAGCCTCTGTGCGTGGTGGCAGAAGGTGGCTCTGACTCTGCTCCTTGCCTTGAGAGGGAGGCTTTGCTCTGGGTTTAGGAGGTGCTGCACCCTCCTGATTATCCACAAGGTTTTCACACTGAGCAGAGACACATCCTACCTGCTGTTCTGTGGCCCTGGTGTGGGTGCTGTGCTGGGATGTTGGGATGCTGGGATCAGCCATGCCTTTGGCATGGGGGGATCTGCCCACAGCAAGGAGAGGGATTTCCATATATTTTCTGGCCATAAGCTAAACCACAAGAAGTTCCACCTCAAGATGAGGAAGAACTTCTTTCCACTGAGGGTGGCAGAGCACTGGAACAGCTGCTCAGGGAGGATGTGGAGTCTCCTTCTCTGGAGACATTCTAAACCCACCTAGATGTGTCCCTGTGTCACCTGCTCTGGGTGACCCTGCCTTGGCAGGGAGGTTGGACTGGAGGATCTCCAGAGGTCCCTTCCAACCCCAATGATTCTGTGATATTGGGAACTCTCACTTCTGACCAGCACTGTACCAGTCTAAATGCCCTGGGAGAGATGTCTCTTCATCGAATGAGACTTGCTCCCAGGAAACTTTGCTGCCCTCACAGAGTTTGGGCATTGCAGTGAGGAGCAGGCATGGTTTGCCTTCTCCTGATGAGATGTCTGTGCCCGTCACCTTCCAGGTTACTCCCAGATGGTGATCAGCTTCTACTACAGCGGGAAGCTGGTGGGCCACGTCAGCACCTCATGCTCTGAGGGCTGCAGGATCGCTCTGGGCCAGCCCTCTGGCCACGGGGAGAAGCTCTATGCCCCGGATGCCCTGGAGCACGTCCGGTTCCCCTCGGCTGACGCCATCCCGAACGACCGCCAGAAGCAGATCACCAGGAAGCTCTTTGGACACCTGGAGAGGGGTGTCCTGCTGCACAGCAACAAGCAGGGCATCTTCATCAAGAGGCTGTGCCAGGGCAGGGTCTTCTGGAGCGGGAACGCCATGGTCTACAAAGACAGGCCCAACAAACTGGAGCGGGATGAGGTGGTGAAGATATTTGACACCAGCTTGTTCTTCAGAGGTCTGTAGGAGCCTTCTGTTCTTGCTTCTTTACATTAGGACCTCTGCCCTTTCCTATGGGAAATAAATCCCTGAACTGGTTGATTTGAGCTGATCAACCAACAGATGTGGTGAACAACCATGGTGGGCAGGAGTGGAGTTGGGAAACCTTCAGGAGGGGGAAGAAGGGGATGGGATGAGGGGGGTGGTCCCCATGGCTCTGCCCAGGAACTTCTCCCTGGAGAAGGTGAAGCAGTTCTGGGATCCCAAAGCCTTGGGACAATGCATAAGGAATTTCTGGAGCCTGCACCCAGTGAAGGACCCCCTTGGGCCATATGGTGGGGTTGTAAGGGTAGAGCCCTTTTTCCTTGGGGCACTTTGAAGTCATCACTGCCCATCACTGATGGGTTCCCTGAGTGCTCTGAATGAGTAGGTGATGCTACCAGATCTAGGAAGGAATAACCTGGTGTTTTGGGTCACTTGGCAAATTCGTCCCTGTTGGAGTCTTTGCACAACGAAAGTGGCTTCTCTTGAGCCCACAGCTTCCTTTCACAGCAAAGGGTGGTTGATCCCAGAGCTGTGTAACTAGGGCTGGCAGCTTCCAAGTGTTGCCCTCTCCTTGCAGAGCTGCAGCAGTACTACAACAACCAGGGCCGCTTCCCAGACAGCAGAGTCATGCTGTGCTTTGGAGAGGAGTTCCCAGACACTGTGCCACCGAGGTGTAAGCTCATCCTTGTCCAGGTATGGAGGGTTGGGGGAAAAAAGGGTAATATGGTCCAGAAAAGGTGGGAATTTCAACAGCAGAGCTCCATGAATAGGGCTCTAGCTTCAAACCCTGGAGCTGCAGGGAATTTGGGTGCCCGAATTGGTGGGGTGGCAGGTGTGATGTGAGTGTTGGCTTATCCACAGCCTCCTGAGAGGTACTTGGGCTGTTTCTCGTCAGATTCCTTGATCTGGGTGGATCTTGTTTGCAAACAAAGCTCCTGAATGGTAAAAGCTTTTCTAAACAGCTATAGAAAATCATCTCTTCCTCCTGCTCCTGCTTCTTGGTACTAGGACCTCTTCCCTTTCCTGTGGGAAATGGGGAAGTAAATCCCTGATTTAGGCTGATGAGCCATCAGATGTGGTGAACAACTGTGGTTGGCAGAAGTGGGGTTGGGGAACCTTCAGGAGGGTGAGGGAGGGGGTGGGATGAGGGGGTCAGTCCTCATGGCTCTGCCCAGAAATTTCTCCCTGGAGGATCTGCAGCAATTCTGGGCTCAAAAAGCCTTGGGGCAGGGGGTTACTGGAGTCTCTTAGGCCAACCAGGCAGCAGCAGCAGAGACATGACACAGAGGGCACAAGGAGGGTCTTGCATCCCTCCTTGAGCAAGGAGAGAGCCACCGAGTCTGTGAGGTCCTGGAGGGGACTTTACGTGGTCAGAGACTGGTGCTGTGCCTCCCTGCACAACTTTCTGACCTGGTCACCTCCTGCCTTGGGTGTCTGCACCAGAGGATCACTCTGTATGTGCTGGGACACCCCCAAGCCTGTCCTTGTACCTCTGTCTCTGCTAAGAGGAGCTCCTGTGACTGCTCCTTTATTCCTTGGCTTATTGCATGTCTTTTCTTCTTGCACAGGTGGAGCAGTTGTATGTCAAGCAGGTGGTGGAGGAGGCTGGGAAGACCTGCAGCAGCAACCCCATGCTCCCCATGGCTGATGAGCCCCAGCATGACCAGGTGTACAGGATCTTCCAGGACATCTGCACGACACACCAGCGGCCGCTCTTCCGAGAAAACCAACAGATTGCTGTCTGAGCCCCCTCCTCTGCACTCAGAGTGTGGTGGTTTGGGTTGATCTAGACCCAAACTAGTCCCATGAGTGCCTAAAATCCCTTTTAAGAAAAGTTGGGTTTTGTTCTTTGCTGTTTCCAGTCCAGAGTCAGTATAAATCCAGTAGTAAAAATTGCCATGAGCAAGTAGGTTGGGGGCTCAGTGTCCATTCTGCAAACAATTTATGATAAAAATAATTTTTTGTAGTCCCAGGACTGTTTATAGCTCATGGCTGGGGGAGGAGGGAGTGTCCAAGCTGTGCAGGAAGGCAGGGCTGGCTTTGTTTGTGTTGCCTTTGTTAATGGCCAGTCAAGCAGAACCAAAAATCAACAGCTATAACGACCTGCCCCCACGATCTGCAACTCAGACCTTGCTGAGAATAGTAATTTTGTAGGAGGTGAATCTTGGAAAAACCTTAAAATGCTCAAATTTAGGAAATTATTTCTGGGAGTCAGCTTTCCCCCTCCAAAGAGTCCTGCTGATGGAAGACAGGGTGTGCCTTCCAAGGAGAACTTCTGAAATTCCTCTTTATTTTTGCTATGAGATTTATTTTTGCTATGAGGTTTATCTTTCATAACAAAGTGTATTGAAATTTGGAAACTATTGCAGAGATTCTATATGTAAATGTTGAATATAAGAACTATAGGAATCTTAATTTTTTCCTAACCAGGGACAGAGTTTATATAAATATATATAAATCTTTAATTTTAAAGATTGCAGCGTAGTGTGAATAGTTTGGCTTCACCCTCCCAAACACACGTGTTGGGTTCTCCCAAGCGTGACCAGGCAGCGTCATCCATGTGTAAATCCTTGTTAACATGCTCTGTGTGTGCCCCCAGCACTGGGGACCTGCTGGGCCATGGGGCTGGTGCCTTACAAACCAGGCCTGCACATGTGGGCGTGCCACCAAGCTGCCTATTTATTTTATGCCTGAGGTTCATTAATTGTTTTGTAATTTTTTTTTTTTTATTTCCCTGCAATTAAAGTGCTATAATTTTGTATTTCTCTTGCAAAGTGGTTTTTGGGTGCAATGGGTGGGGTCTCAAAGCGGGTGGGGAGAGTCTGGTGTCTCTGACTTGCTTGTAATTTGGTCTTACCTGTGGTGGGGTCTGTGTTAAGCCTCTGTCAGCTCCATCCTGCTCCATTACTTCCTGGATTCATCTTCTGTCAGGAAAGAGATGAGTCAGAATGCTGTAATGCATGGAGGGAAGGAAAGGATATCACTTGCAGATCCTTCATCCCAGGGAGGATGAAGGTATGTCCCTGCTCATCTGCCACAGCACTGACCTGGATGTTCTTAGCTCTGTGCCCTGGGCTGTGATGCTTCGAGGTCATGGGATGGGATGGGGGCAGCTATTTATGGTTCTGCTCAAAGACTTCCTCTTTTCCCTCTCCCATGGGAGTTGGGAGCATTTCCCCCTTGTCATCTTGTGGGCAGCCAAGTACATTGCAGCCACTTGCTCATTCCCTGTTACCCCTTCAGAGGGAAAGAAAACTGGAAAGAAAAGGTAAACGTAGTGCCTTGAGATAAGAACAGTTTAATAATTTTAGGAAGAAATTCTTTAATTAAAGAAGAAATTTTTCCCTTTGAGGGAAGGGGGGAGACCCTGGCACAGGTTGCCCAGAGAAGCTGTGGCTACCCCATCCCTGGAAGTGTCCAAGGCCAGTTTGGAGCAACCTGGCTTCCACTTCCAGTGGAAGTTGTCCCTGCCCATGGCAAGGGGTGGAACGAGATGAGCTTTAAGGTCCTTTCCAACCCAAATTGTTCTGTGATTCTAATTAAAAAAAAAATATAATGATACTCATAAAAAGGAATAAAAGCCAAGAGAAATAACTGATGCACAGTACCATTGCTCAGCCCTACTAAGAAAAAAATTGTCTCAGTGGAAACCAGGGCACTTCTCTATCCAGGTTTCTCATGGGGCCTGGTCTAGTGGGGGTGGGTGGTGTTTGGGAACCACCAAGGGTGACAAGGGAGCATCTGCCTTGGTCAGATGAGGTCAATGTTGCAGCAGGGGCAGCTGAGCATCTGCACCCTCACCTGCCTGCACTTCAAGCCTGTGTTTGGGACAACACCTCAAGAGGTTCTGGAAGGGTGAGGACCATGTTTGAACTGTCCCCTTGCCCCAGCGATGGACAGAGGTGAACTCCAGCTCCTTCCTCACAGCAGGGTCTGTTATGTGGTCTGGGGCAGCCCTGCCAAGGGGCACAGGTAGGGAAGAACTGGTCTTCACGGGGATGATCCTGGTACTCAAGACCCCAGGGATGCAGGCATTTTTGAGGGGGATGTCTGGAGATCCAGGCAGCTGGAGACTGAGTTCCCTTAGAAGATGCTGAGGAGGTCGATGCAAAACTGGCCTCTCTACTTAGGTAGCAGAAAAGTGCTGATCTGCCTTTCTCTGTGAATGACAGAACCCTTCCCAAGCATGAGTGTGTCCTCAGGACACAGTCAAGGTGTGAGGACCCTGACCTGAGGTGAGTTGACCACAGCTCATGTCTGCCAAGAGGCTCTACATCTGCAGCCGTTTTGGGGGGGCAATGCAGCCTTCACAGTGAAGCCTCCCTAAGAAAATCAAGTGTTCAGCTCTTGTGGGACTTGAAGCTGAGCCCCCTGCAGTTACAGCCTCTGTCCCAAAGAGCTATAGGTGCACAGTGGACAACACACAATTTACAGCACCCAAAAAGTGCCCTGGGATGGGAGAATCAGCTTGAACTTTGTGATCAAACATTAGGATTCAGGGAGTCCCTGCGTCTGTGCTGCAACCATGTTGGTGGGATGCTTGTCGTCCTGCCTGTGTCCCTGTTCCTTGCATGTTCCTTGCAGGCATTACAGAACCTGGATTTGGTGCTTGTGAGTGGAGATGACTGAAGACCAAGATTTTTGAGAATGCACCAGGGTCCCAGTGAAATGGAGCCACCAACTCCTGTAAGCTCCTATGGGATGCTTGGTTACAGAGGTGGGGATGGCACCCTGTGGGTGCACTATCAGCATGCATCTGAGCCTTTCTGTGCTCCTCCTGAGGACCATCACGGTGTCCCCCATGGGGTTTAATCCTGATCCAGCCCTTAGTGGAGCATGAGGAAGACTCACCCCCCTGTGGGTGAGGTGCCTGCCAGGGGGAGTTGGGAGCAAGGCACCCACTGTGGTCTGTGTTGGAACAACACGTGCCCACTTGTGAAACACGTGATGGGTTGGAGGCTGGGACACAAGAAACACCACTCGTGGTTTCCCCAGATGTGCTGGGCCAAGTCCTTCCTCAGAAACCACCATCCTGTGCTCGCCTGGAGCCACCTGCTTCGTGTTCAGGGCTCTTTCGATTTCCACCCCAAGACCACGGAAGAGCCGTGGGGAGCGGAGGTACCTTTTGTTGCACTGGTTATTTTTAGTGTTGTCATCGTGTTTCAGAGCCCAGAGCTTGGTTTGGGACCTTAAACCAGCACCTCAGCTCCCATCCCAAACAGCTTCCCAGCCAAGTCCAAGAGGAGATACCTGCTGGCTGTGGAGGGACTGGGAAGGAAACAGTGGACAGCATTGTGTGGCAGAGGAGGGGTGCAAGAGGGATAATGCAGTGGGTACATGATTGTGGGCAGGGGTCTCTTTTGCTCAGTGCTCAGGTAGGACTTGCAGCAGTATTGGGCTTGGGCTTAATGCCTGGCCCGAGATGGATTTCCCTATCCTGAAATTCATCATGAGGGAAGCCTCTAAGGCTGACGCTCCAGCAGACTGGAGCTGGTTTTGAGGTAACAGCGTTCCTTCCACACGGGGATGGTCTGGCCCAGACTCAACGTGGCCTTTGTAAAATTCCAGGAGAAATTTCTGCACTTCTCTCACTTTTCCTGCAAGCCTCTTGGCCTGGCAGGCAGGGCACTGCCATCCTCATCGCCCCACCTGGGAAGCTGCTGGGGTCTGGAAGTGCCCCAGCTCAGCGGCAGCACCTGCATCCCAGGCACCCATCCCTGCACCGTGCCTGGCCCCGGGCAGCTCCGGTGAGCTGCTGGTGTAGCTGTGCCCTGGCTTAGTGGTTTTGGGCGATCGGTGACTCAAATACTTTCGTTGGTTTCTGTTCATTTGGGTTCTTCTCTATTGCCTCACTGAAGTGAAACCTCAGTGCCTGCTGCTGGCTCTCCTTCGTCAGTGGCTTGTCCGCTGGCAAGTCCCAACAGTCTCCCAAATCTGCGACTGAGGATGCCATCCCCGAACACTGGGAATGATGTACCCACCGCATACAACATCTGTGGCACAGGCTGCATCCCCTCTACTGAATGATCCTCACTGCTGTAGCAGCATTGTGGCAGCTCCGAGGCAGCTCCGAGGCTGTTGTCCCTAAAGCTCTGTCTTGGTGGTTTCCTACACCTTGAGCACGTGTTTGAGTCGGAGCAGTGGTACCATTACACTCCTGACTGATGTGGAGATATTTCCTTGCTTTCCAGGAAGGCCAATCCAGGTACCAGGACCTGCTGCTCCTCTGGAGAGGGCTGCAATCCCTGCAGGCATGGGAAGGTACTTTCTGGGAGATGCCCAGGCTAACAGACTCCTGTTTTCAGGAGCAGCAGGTTTCATATGGGAAAGAGGGCAGAGCTTGGTTTGCATGAAGGAAGACTGACCTTAACTTGCAGGAGATACATTGTTCTCCTCACACGCATGTCTGAAGAGGAGCAACGTGCTTATCCAATCGTCCTATCAGCCAGTGCAGAAGGGTTGAATCAGGGCAAATAATGTGGGAAGACCCTTCTCTAAAGTCTTCCAACATAAAAGCATCTACTCCATGGTGAACACTTTGATTTTTGGGTGCTACAAAGGACATTATAAATGCTGTAGCCACCCCTGATGTTTTGCTCACTGGCTCGGGGACGTTATTTGGGTTCAAAGTCAACCTTACTTACTCCTGAGATTTGTCATGAGTAGAAGTCAGTTGTGCCACTGGGAATCATTTTCCTTTGGAGAAAATGAGCCTGATTATATCCTGCAGCATTATCAGTCTTGTTCAGAACATGTGTCTGTAGTTTCCCAAGACATGCCCCTCTCCAAATGCCAAAAGCACTGCTGCATGTGGCTTCAGGATAAGAAGTTGGTGTCCATGAGGACAACTAGTGTGCACCCCTTCCTTGTACACACCTGAAACACAGTGTGAGGAGTTACCTAGTGACA